GTGTTGAATGGAATAGTCCAGGTACAGAAAGACATATACCACATGATCTCACTTTTATGTGTAATCTTAGAAAGTCCAAGCCTTAGAATGGTGATTAACAGGGGCTTGGGGAGAGAGATGGATTGGGGAGGTGTTGGTCAAAACAATAGCAATTTAGTTAGACAAGAGCAATTTGTTCAAGAGATTATTGTACAACATGGTGACTATCATTTACAATGTGCTGTAAGCATAAAAATTACAGAGAATAGATTTTTAAGTTTTCTAGCCATTAAAAAATGTATGTGAGGTAATGCGTATATTTATTAGCTTGATTTAATTATTCTTCAGTATATTTTAAAACATCATGCTGTGTCCCATAAGTATATACAATCTTTATTTATCAGTTTAAAAAATCCTATTGATTCCCTTCCAAAATGCACCCCGTAACTGGCTACCTCTTGCAATGTAATTCAGTCTTCTGTTCTCTACTGCCTGGACAGCTGCAGCAGCCAGATGTTGCTGGTGAAAAGACCAGCTGCAATCCAGGCTGTGCCTCTTCCCTCAAGCTTCACTTTTGATCCTCTACCGTCCTTTCTTCAAGAAGAGCCTAAACGATTTTGTAAGCTGTAGATCAGGGCATGTCAACCCTCCTCTTAAAACCAGTGATTCATATTGAATGTTAGAATACAATCCAGATTTCTTGAATATGGCCAGCAAGGCCTGTGTGATCTGTCTCCTGCCTGATCTCCAGCTTCATCTCATCCCATTCTCTCCCTCTCTTAGTATATGTTTTGGTCACTCCGTTCAGTGCTATGAACACAGGTATATCAGGTACCTTCTGTCCTGGGGCCAAGGTTCTTGTTTCCTTCGCAGTCTCTACCCCACGTTCTCTGCATGATGGGTCCTTTAGTTCTCAGTCACTTCTTTAGCGGTCGTCTTCCCTGATGTGTAATTCTTTCATAATACTGGTTACAGTCTGCCTTGTTTATTTACTTGTTTATTATTCATTTTCTCCAGTAGAAGCCCTGTGTTTCTGTTTTCTCATCTCTCCAGAAGTTCCTCACAGTGCCTAACCCATAAAAGCCCCATTTCATTGAAATCTAATGTGTGATCAATTGTAGGATGCAGTATTGGGTTATATGCCACCAAGAAAGTAAAAGCAAAACACTACAAATTAAACCATGGCACAATGCTAGCAACTATTGCTTAAAATTCTGACTTTTGAGGTATTAAAATGTGTTTGTTTATTTTGAGTTGGAGTCTCACTCTGTCGCCCAGACTGGAGTGCAGTGGCCGCTCCCGGCCACCGCAGCCTCAACCTGCTGGGCTCCGGCGATCCTTCCACCTCAGCCTTCCAAGTAGCCAGAACTGCAGGCGTGTGTTACCATGCCCGGCTGATTTTTTGGTTTATTGTAGAGAGGAGGTCTTGCTGCCCAGGCGGGTCTCGAACCCGCAGGCTCAGGCAATCCACTCACCTCAGCCTCCCAAAGGCACGGGATTACAGGCTGAGCCACCGAGCCCGGCTTAAAATGTGTTTTTAAAATGCATTCTTAAGATAATCTCATACATCTCTTTTTGTATACATAAATAAATGCACTTTGCTTAATCATGAATACTTGTTTGCTAATGATCTTTTTAAAAATTATTCTGAAAAAGATATATACAGTATATGTAGAAGCCAAGAGATTGCATAGGTCATGAGTTACCCCATATTATGTAAAAGAGGGTATTGCTAGTATGAGTAATTGAAAGGATTGTTTGAATACTTGTTCCAGTTCTGAAGGTCTTGAGTGGGCCAGGAAACTTGAATTCTCTGTAAACACTTTCAGTTGTCTTGCAAGTAGATACAGTCCTATAAGGAAGGAAAACAAAAAAGACAGGTGTAGATTGGTAGAGTTGGTGGTGGGAATATGCATCTGATTGCTTCTGTGGGTGAAATACAATATGGGATTTAAAAAAACGATCATTGGATCAGTGTAGAAGGGTAGGAATTTTGGAGCTCTGAGAAAGAAAAGAAGATACGGAATAGTAAATGCAGGAAGAATGAAAACAAGAGGAAGCAGTACGTACTTTGGAAGTGAAACAAGTTCGCCAACAGATTTGAGAAACTCTGAGGTAGAAGGCACAGTGCTTGACTGAATGTTGGATGGTATATCAGTGTGATCAAGTAATGAACACCCGGTGCTGAAGGAGTAGCAAGACAGCCCTTCCCCTTGAGCTGCCTTGGATTGTTCTAGTCCCTAAACTACATTTTATTTCCATAGTCATCTCTCCTCGGGTGTCTGTGAAATTGCTGCTTCCGTTATCATTTATGCCGTTGGAAAACAAAACTCATAGGCGAGGAAGGCTGAATTCAAACACTGACACGGGAGTCAGACTCTTAACCACTAAAGTGTACTGTCCCCAGTAAACAAAAGTTTCCCGAGGTGGCCCGAGTGAGCTCCTTTTTGTGTGGAATGAAAAGCAACTGTCTTTCATGTGCTGATAAATGCTTTTCTATTTTTTATAAGAAAAAAGTCCAGACTCGCATGCTCTGCTCTTGAGTTCCAGTCCAAGTTCATCTGTACAGCCCCATCTTTCCATACTCACACTCCGTGGTTCAGTCTTTCTGCTCATCTTCAGCCTCCTTCCCCAAAAGCTGTGATCTTTAAGTCCTGATGTGTATACGTGTGGGCACTACACAAGACCATCCACTTGGGGTGTGCCTGTATACTCTGTTCTCTTCCCTCCAGGCCTTTGCCTCTATTGCTTCTTCTGTCTGCTTGGAACACCTTTACCCGTGTCCGACCATGTGGTACTAGTCTCAGGATCTCACTTGAGACCTCACTCATACCAAGAAGCTTCTTCTGAACCTTCCAAGTCTGTGGTCACCGTGCTTCCCCCATCTCCTCCCTGACACCCTGTTTTCATGGTCACCTCTTTACTGACAGGCACCCACAAAACTTCAGCATGTAACACAGTACCTGCCTCAGAATCAGGCTTAATAAATGTCAACAGAATGTTAAAGGAAGGAGCATTTCATCTTTTTTAAGTGTTTAAATCATATACTTCATTAATCCAGGTTTTTATTCTGTGACACAGAGGTTTTTAACCCACATAAAAATCTCCTAAGGACTCATTATGACTGTGAGCAGACCCATCCAAAAAGCAGGAAAACTGCTTGGGCAAATATTTTTGAAGACCTCCTTGGACCATGTTTTGCACAATGGTAGCATAATATTATACAGCAGTTTATACTTTCAGCAGGTCAGTTCTAGTAAGAAGGCTTATCCAAAGTCAAATGTTTCCCTTTTGTTTTCAGTTTAGCTCCTGTTTCTTACTGGTATCAAACATGTCATTTCTGTGAATTCTTCCGTCTCTAACTTCTTAACTACTTCTCCCCAAGCTTGTACCAGATAAGCAGCAAAGCTAAAAGCTATGATGAATTAGGTTTTTGTTTTTTATAATTTATTTTAAAGGTGTGGGGTACAATTCAGGATTAGGTATACACATGGTCATTGTACTGGTAAAGTTTGAGCCTCACTTTGATCCCCACTTCACCTGGTTTGAGATCGGGTAACTTATTGATGAAATGTGCTGCCCCCTGCCCCTGGCAGTTTCCCACTACGGCCAGCTCTTTTCTTGTATGATAATTGTTCAGGGTCCACCATGAGAGAACATATGATATTCAGTTCTTTGTTTCTGTAATAGATCACTGAGTATCACAAACTTTAAATCCATCCAAGTTGCTGTGACGTTCATAATTTTGTCCTTTATGGCCGCATAATATTCTATCACGTATATGTACCATGCTTATCCATACACTTTAGATGGGCAGCATGGTTGGTTCCGTGTTTTTGCTATTGTGAATAATGCTGCAATAAGCATGCATGTGCAGGTATCTTTTTTTATAGAGTGATTTGAGTTCCTCTGGGTATATTCACAGAAGGGGGATTTCTGGGTCGTATGGAAGGTCAATATTTAGACTTTTAGGAATCACCACACTGTTTTCCACAGAGGTTGTCCTGGGCTTGTTTTTGAGAACTCTTTGTGTTGATGCTTTTCTTTTCCCAACTGTGTGGCTTTCTCCCACTCCTACCTGGCTCTTCATAGTATACTCTTCTCATGTAGGTGGATGTGCTTTGATTTCTTAGAATGTCGAATTCACCCAAGTGAGAAAGAAAGGGTTTTGCGTTGTTTGCCATTTGGAGTTTTCAGTGCCTCCCTTTGCTACGTTAGGATGACAAAAGATATTATGATGCCATGTATATGAAGAGTTATCGTTCACTGCTTATGGATAACACCCCAGCTGCTCCTTATCTCAAAGTAGTTTATTTTCATCTCTTAAAAATGAATTGTATTCACACTTCATGCTTTAATCTTTTACTGTAATCTTAAGGCAAGCCACATCGCGTATCTTAAACCATATGCCACACGAGAACATTCTGATATGTTCTCTCTTTTCTCCCAATCTACCTTCATGGTCCTTTGAATACATTTAATTTTGTAAAGTAGCTCGGTAGCAGCCAGCTCTTATCTATTGTAGCTGGTTTGATTTTCTGCTTGTTCCTGTGATTCTGATAACATAGGAACTACTTACTTTATGTTTTTAAAGGGTCAGGGAAAATAGTTGTTTTTGCTAACATTTGTAAACTACCAGATAGCATACTTTTCAAAATCTCTTTTGTCCTTCTAAAGTAGTAAAATGTGCCCAAAGTTTAGTGCAGAAGTAATAAGATTGAAAAATCTGAAACACTTTTTATTTGGCACGTCATTCAAATGCTATCTCACCCTGCAGTTCCTGCAGCTGGCACGTCATCTGAATGCTGTCTCATTCTGTGGTTTCCAGAGGGATGGGTTGGTAGTTCACATCTTGGTGAGCCTGTGGCTTAGGTCCAGTTCCGTTCACAAATGTAATGATCGGAGAAGACTTAAACACTGTAATTTTTTTTGAAAAAGCAACACCATATACAGAAAAGAAAAAAAAAAAAAACTAACCAGTGGCCTTTTTTTCTTCTTCTTCCCTCTGCTCTTTCACACAGGTACAACTTGGCCAAGTAGAAATCAAATGCCCTATCACAGAGTGTTTTGAATTCTTAGAAGAAACAACTGTTGTCTATAACTTAACGCATGAAGACTCCATCAAGTATAAGTACTTCCTGGAACTTGGCCGTATTGATTCCAGCACCAAACCATGTCCTCAGTGCAAGCACTTTACAACCTTCAAGAAAAAAGGACATATACCCACCCCATCCAGATCAGAAAGCAAATACAAAGTAAGCACGTTCACCAGAATTGTGGGTTAAATGTCACATGGTGGAAACAGCCAAATTAGGCCAACTTGTGGTGGGCATTAAGGGGGCTTCCTTCCCTTACCAGAGCCTAAGGTGAGCACATGTGGACTATGGTTCTGAAAAACGTATAGTTTGGGGTAGCTGACGATAGCACTCTTGAGGATTTGATTAAAGCTTTTTCTTTGACTTTAACTTTGTTGAAAATTTCTCTAGTAACCTTCTTAATAGACTAACCTTTAGAGTAATAATCGTTACTATTGACAAATGCTAAGTAAATACTAAGGCTTTTATTATTATTATTATTATTTATTTGACTTTTTCAGTGGTCCCAATGAAAGTGTCCTCTGACTCTGTCTATGATAAGTAAAAATGGGATAAAATGGTCTTCATTCATTTACTCAGCAAGTATAGAATGCCAGTACATGCTAGGCATTGTGCTAAGTTTGGGGGGATACAGAGCAAATGTGATTGTCCTTGCTTCAAAAAGTCTTTTGAAGGAGAGAGAGAGAGACATAAGTTCTAGGATGGCAACTCAGTGTGAGTAGAAAAGCAAAACGCAGGCCTCGACTGTATATGCAGGGTGTTTGGGGGACACTTGAAGGTGGGATGAGCTAGGATGTCAGGAATGGCTTCCCAAGGAGGTGCAGTTCTCCAAGCAGATAAACTTGGAGTGTTTCAGAGCAAGGGAAGAGTGAGTGCCGAGGCCATGCAGCTAAGGTCAGGCATGCTGAAAACAAGTGTTTCTAGGGCTAGTGGGAGAGAGTAGGGGAGTGGCGGCCGGTCAGGCAGATAAGAGCAGGCCATGTTGGATTTTGTGCACTGAGTACAGGAGTTTATTAGATTAGTTTATAGATTTAATTATGTAGGCATTAGGGACAGATCATTCCGGCATCGTTCATAGAGGCTGTCACAGGAGGCCAGAACTGCAGCCTGGGAAACCAAGACAACCATATGGCCACAGAGTATCGATTCACTGCTCGGACTATACATGATAGTCGCCTGGAGAGCTTTAGGACACACCAGTGTCCCAGGCCCACCACGAACAACTGTTGTGCAATTTTTTTAGCCTCACCCAGTAACTAATACACAGCAGTGAAGCAGAAAACCAGTGAGGCTGCGGCAGTAGTTTTCGTCCTTGTCATTATGGCAAAATGGCAGGATAAAGTGATTTCAAAGGCTGTTTGAAGTCATTTCCATTTAGGGTAAGTTTTTGCCCCTGTTCTGCGTGATTTGGAAGCAGCGGTGGCTCCACTATTCATCCTGTAGCTTTGAGGGGACCATGGTTTTAGCAAGTAGTTTCCTCTGACATTGCAGTGATGAGCTACAGTGCTTTTAGGTTAGTCCAGGCTTCTTAAGGAGTAATTGCTCTTTGAAACTGTTTGACTCTCATAGTTAATGTTTTTATATATAGTTCTTGTGCAGGCTAGTCTCTTTGAGGTGTAACTGTTAGGAAAAAACAACTATTTTTCCTTCTGTAAAAAGTATCATTTTTGAGGTTACAACTTAATATTTTGTATAACTAAAATATTGCCCTACGGTAATGCTGAATGCTGACTTAATGCTAATAGAATACTTTTATTTACTTTGGTTATTTTAAGTTATTTTTATTCCTATTGTATATTGTTATATGTTAACAGGAAATTACTAGTTTTAGAAAAACATTTTATAAATTAGGGTATTTGATTTAGTATGAATTATGCTTGGAATTAGGTATACATAAACTCAGACTATACTAATTTTGGAATTTATGGTAATTATAGCATGTATATAAAATTCAATCAAAGTGGAAATAATTGAGAATAATCTCAATGATCAGGCTTCCTCTAGTATCTGTCAGTTGGATTGTAAATAAGAAGGAAAACAAGGAGGAAACGCAGATCTTAAATCCAGTAAGGTCAATAGTTTCCTTTTGATGAGCAAAGCAAAATAAATTTGTTTTGAGGAGGAATTTCATTTAAAATAAATGTCGTTGATGATAAAGCAGTTAAAATCTTCAGATGTGGGTGAGGGATAGAAACTTCAACATACTGTAAAGCAAAACTCTGGAGCAAGCTTCAGCAAGAGTAAAGCTACTGCCGAATTTGAGGAGGATTATTTTTGTTACTCTTCTTTCCTCTTGTAGAAGAGAACATCTATAACAGAAGAGCTATAAATAATCTCCCTCTGCTGTGTTGTATAAAGTCCTAGGATGACTCAAACAATTCCTGAAGCAATGATTTTTACTACATATAGCATTCTCCATCATTAAACTCTCAGCTCTACGCTGGTATTCCTTGATTTACATGCCCATACCTGTCTGGATATTATGGGTAAGAAGAGCACTGACGTGGGTTCTCCAACAAACCAACTGTGACATTCATGACTGCATCTAGCATCCTAAACTGAGACCAAGATCTTTGTGCTTTTTGGTGAACAGATGAACATTTTTTACTTTGTGGTATATTTAAATTCAGTGTCAAATGATTTAATCCTGGTTTTGAGACACACAGACTTTGTTTGGCTATCCCTCTATGAATAGGTACCACCAACAATGCTATTATCCCAAACAGTGAGTATTTTCTAAATATTAACTGGGGGACTTGATTCAGCAAAGCCACAGACTTACAGTTAAATTTTCTCTGGGGATTTTATAGTAACAAACCCAGGTCTAAAGTAGCTACAGAAAGGGAAATATTATGTGGATTTTTTTTTTCTTATGCTGTGTCCACGTGTTTTTCAGACTCATTTAAGTAAAGACTAGAGTGAGTAAGGAATGGAGTCAGATGAGGTAGGTGTCTGAGCCATAAAGTACAAATCAATACTGCAAGATGTCATTTTTTTTTTTTTAGGAAATAGTGGAGATTCAAGCCATAGAGATTTCTACTCTAAATTTTCACACCTGGCTTTCCAGGATGCGCATTTTTGCACGTAAACCAGTTTTCTCTTAGTTTCTTTAACCGAGTCAAAACTACACCGCCCTCTTTCCCTTATGTTTTTGCTCATTTGTGTATTTCTTGAGTTATTCTCATGTTTCTTGACTTTCTGTGATTTTTTTTTTTCTTTTTTAACTTGGGACCACTGAGTTATAAAGATGTATGCTTTTACCTGACAGTTATACCACAGGTAGATTGTCAAATTGAAAATAGTAAATCAGTAACTGTATTTATTTTTCAAATTAAAGTCATCCTTGGTAAGAGTTACTTTTTTATTTATTTATTTTTAGGAGTTAGTCCTTGATCACTAGTTTGATACTATCTCCATTTTGGGTGATCTGTTTCACAGCAGGCCTGTTACTCTCCCTGACTGTGTAAGAGCTCAAAATAGAATAAATTACTTTTTACATTAAAAAAAAAATCTGTGTCCCCCTCCCCAATAACTAAACCCACTTCCAAAATGATATGGCTTATCTTAACCTTGAGATGAGTGAATTCAAGTATTCAAATGTAATAAATTATATCATAAGGAACAGAAAAAGAAAGGTTGCTAATGTCTAACATTTCTGAGCAATTTAACTTTTCTTTATAATATTGTTTACAACCTTAAATGAGTTTTGTATCTATTGATAAAGTCCTAGTAATGTTTATTTTAATACTTTTCTGAGTCATTGAATTACAGTATCTTGATCCAAGATATCTTTAAGCATTTATTATGGCTTTTGCTGTTGTTTCAAAAGCACTTAATATGGTAAGTTAAAATTGTTTCAAAAATATTAGTTATTTTATAGCTGAGTGAGTACTTCTCACATGAAGCTTGAGATCCAAAATATAATATTTAGGGGTTTTGTTTGTATGGGTTTTTGTAAAGACCACTTGTTAAATTGTTTGTACTTAAAAACTGGATAAAGGGTAAACAGTATCAATAAGTAGCAACAAGAATTCTTAGGTATTCATTCATCCTTCTAGGCTCTTACTCGACACATCTTTTCTGGCTAAAATTTTAGTAAATAATGCTATTCATTTTGTTGAACATTGTCAAACTAATACTGTATCAAACAGAACAAATTCATTCTTGAATTGAAACAACTTTGCCTTTGGCCAAGTCTAGTCTTACTTTTTTATTCATAATATTTCTGTCTTCTCCCCACAACTCTTATCATGATGCCAAAAAGTCTTACTATCCCATGTCTACAAGGTTGACTTCAGTTTCCAACTAGAAATCTAATTTCTAACCTGAACGGTTTCTGTAATTTATTAATGCAACACCAACTGCGTATCAATATAGAGAATAAGCTAATGGTGGGGAAATTAAAAATATTGTAACTGTGACTCTAATGTCCTCATGTGATGCCTAGAAATAGACATACATAGGTTTTCTCCATAGTAATTATCATCTGGGATTTTATGATGTTTTTGTGTGGTTATTTGCTTAAAGTCTCTCTAAGTGGTCTCTAGGAAGTCTAGGTCCAGGCTTGCTTCATTTGCTGCTGATAACCCTGCCAAGCACTATGTCTTGTGTAGTATGCATTCAAAATACATCTGCTGATGGAATTAATAAATGGGCCAATGTGTAAATAATAATGTGTATTATAATAGATGTAGATGCCAAAAAGCTTAGCACATAGGAAAAGAAGGGACAAGAGAGTTTGGGAAAGCTTCATTTAAGAGTAAATACATTAAACTAAGCCTTAAAATGTTGATTTTACCAAAGTGGAAAATATGGAGTCAGAGCACTGGCTTTAAACTAGATTTAAACTCTCAGTCTGTCACATGCTGGCTCTATAACCTTGAGTACAGTTTTTACATCTTTAGCTGGGAATAATAATAGTACCTATGTCATAAGAATATAGTAAGGACTAAACAAGATCTCACAAATAATGTGCTTAGCACTATGTATGATATGTAGTGTATGCTCAACACATGCTAAAAATTGTGTTGATTGCATGAGCAGTGACCCCTGGGTATTGAGAAGGGAGTGGGGGAGTCACAAAGAATAGAAATGGAACAAAAGATGAGATGAGTGGTAGATGGGTAGAAAGGAGGGGTGAAATTGACTGTGCCTGGAGG